CCTCTGGCCGGCGCGGACCAACCATTTCAACCATTTCAACCAGGTTGAAATGGTTGAAATGGTTGAATTCAACCATTTCAACCATTTCACCCTGGTTGAAATGGTTGATCCGCCCCGGCCCGGTGCTTCAGGCCTATAGAGAAAAAGCCAATTCCCAAATAGACCCTATTGGTTCTACATACATAACCCCTATATCCCCCTTGAAAAGGAACCCGTAAAATCACCCTCAGGTTCCTGAGGTTCAGGGTGGTGGTGGTCAGCTGCGCCATTCCGTTGGCTTCGCGTACTCCGTGCAGAGGGACCCGGGCTGGGTTTAGGGCTTAGGGTTCAGGGTTGAGGGTTTAGGCTTTTGGGTTGAGGGTTTAGGGTGATTCAAGGTTGTAGGTCTTGGACACAGAGCATGGCCGCTGAAGCATCGTGTCTAGTCAAAATCTAAGCCTAAACCATTCTAATTCACAATATCCCCCGAGCTCTGATCAGGCCGTTTTCATGAGTCGTACCATTGGTAACCAGTATCGCTATAAGTTATCCCTGGGGCTGGGGATGGCAAGATCAGTGCTGTTATACGCCTTATTAAATGATCGAGGTGAGGCGTGGGGTTTAGGGTTCAGTCCACTGGGGTAAGCTTGAACATAATTTTCCTTGTGCTCCCTGTGTTATCCTTCTCAAGCCAGAAAACATCAATGCTTTTTGATCCCCAAACCTATCCTGGTGCCCATGTCCCCTAGACTAGTAAATTGTCAGTTACCAGGCTATGGCAGCTGCACACTCATGTGTCTCAGTGGCTCTAGGCTAGGTGAGACTTGCCGCAGTATTTTGTCGGACTTATATACCATCATGTTATTGCGCTAATTGTTGCGCCAGTTGCTTCGTCAAGAGAGAGGAGCTTTTGAAATGATAGTGACTGAAAGGGCATTGTGCCGCTTGAAGCAGCTTTTGCGCAAGACGCTGGAGTTTCCAGACAGGATTCACACGAAACGGGGCTCTTATCAAAAATGTTCGACTCATCCAGGATGCGTATGTGGATCTGGAATTCGGCAATGATGTTGCTTGGCAAAGAAGCATAGACCAGCTAGGCATCGCACATCTTTCAAAGGTGAGCTCCTTGTGTCAATTAGGTTGGCTACTTGCCGGATGGCACGCCAATGAACCTGGCGGGCAACAACATCAACCATCCCGAGAACATTGGACCAGACCCACATGCTCCAGGTGCGGCGGGGGCCACCCAAACATGTCTTAGCCAAAGAGCTAAGCCCATGATTTGTGGACGCTTCTAGGTGTTCCTGAGGCCACCAATTTCTGCCGGCTTGTGTCTAATCCATGATTTATGTTGCCCGGAATGGTATTGTACGTGGGTGAGGCTCGCCGCTGCCACGTGCGGTGTTTGCGAACGACGTGGGATACTTGCCCGATGGCACGCCCATGAACCAGGCCGGAAACGCCATCAACCACCCCGAAACTTGGCAGAATGTTGGGACACAAGACCCGTCTCGTTGCTGATTTTTTTGGTCGGTCTAGGCCACCACGCCTTGGAATCTTAGTCTTGGTCAGAGTGGTCTAAAGGGTGTTGCTGAGCCCATTTCTTTCAGCTATCAGGGCTTGCGTTGAAACTTGGATGGTGCATTTTATGATCGGGCGTGGATCATTTCAGAACCCAGGAAACCATTGGCCCAGATCCTCATTCTCCGGGCTCAGCTTTGCCACCATCATCCTACGCCGCGGATGTGGGCTATCTTGTGGATGGCACACCCATTGAGGCCGCCGGCAACAATGCAGTCCACTAGATGCCGGTGGCATGAGGTGGCGTGCAGTGGTACAAGGGGTGTGGCATTGGGGTGAGGGCATACAGCACTGGTGGCAAAGAATTCCACCAGGTAAAGTGCTGAGAAAGGTATGGAGTCATTCTGTTGGATTGTGGCTGCCCCAGGCCTTGTGAGAGGCCGAAACAGTGGCGGTGATACAGTGCACCAAGACTCCTGCTTCTTTTGGCCAGCATTGGCAAGAGCTTGGGCTCACCATGCGAAGGCCGAGACTCATCATCCTTGTTTTCAAGAAGTCACAGTTGAATCAGATCATGGACTCAAGTGCTCAACGCACAACCTTTCAGCTGTAGTACATGGCACTACACTACACATCATGTCCTGTGACTCCAATCACAGCCTTGAGGGCTACTGTACCCGTAGGAAGATAGGTCTTGAAGCGACCACAGCTTCATTGCTTCCTCTTGGCATTCTGCCACCCGCCTTTGTGCGGTACTTTTTCCATTGCAATTCACCCATAGCGATCTCTATCGCAGAAGTCAGCACAGAAGAGGTCCGACAGCATCCCCTGGCCTCCAGACACTGTGCAGCGAGAAAGTGGCGAAAAAGGGGTATAGTCCCTCTTGAGTAGATAGAATATGGCTTTGGGTGTATTATATATACCCCATATTCTATCTACTGAAGGGGGACCACAGTCTGAATTTTGCAGGTCAGTTGCACACCGCAAGCCTTTGCACAGTTTTGTTGCCGAATATTGGCTCTGGCATCGGTACTGGCATGTGCTTCAATGAGTTCTATAAGGATACTAAATAGTACTACCGCTCACAATAACAACAGTCACTGGAGTAACGATAACTGTAATCATAACAGTAGCAGGTTGTAATCACAGTAGGTCCGTGAGTCCTCCCTAAACCCTGAACCCTAAACCCTAAACCCTAAACCCTAAACCCAGGCGTCTGGCTTGCAGCAGCGCATGTGCATGATGGTTTTTTCGATGGGCAGCTTAAGGTTGTACCTAT